TTCATGATAGTTACTATATGTACAGAGTCTTATTACTTATATTGCCTTTGAAATGATCGGTTTTGCATTGCTTAATACTTTATTACAATTTTCTTTATACTTTTTTAAATTACATAAATTCATTACATTTTTCTCTGCATTTGAAATATTTCGAAAGAAACAATGGTATCTTAATTTTATTTTTAAACTATTTATTTATAAACCTAGTTTTTTTTGTGTTTTATTTTAAGTTTTAAGATCTTTAAAAAAATGCTTGAGATTGTTGCAGAGGTACAAGGTTCCCTTTTTTTTTTTTATATATCTTTTGTAATATGAACAAGGAGAAGGAAAGGGCAGGAGAGTGAGTTGATGAAGACTTTGGCAGAGAAAACGATAGCATGCAATAAAATTTATGTAGCGAAAAAGACGAGGCTGCCAGCAGAAATAGAAAATATAGCATGCAATGAAAGAGGATTTAATATGCGAGAAATAACTATGATATTTTTGATGTAATTTTTAATAGCTTTGTAATTTGAATAAAAATATCATGCGATATTTTTAAAATTTCACCATTTTATTTGAATTACTTAATAATTTAACGCAACGAAAAATTCAATTCAATGAATTTTAATCGATTCAAGTCGATCTTGCACGTAGAAAAGTAATATTCTCGAGCTGCGAAATAAAATGATTTATAAATTTCACATAAGCAAGATGCTAATAGTATCTTAACATGTATTTACCACATATTTTCCTTTATAATAATAATGATTAATTTTCTCTCCAACTGGAGCTTCGCAGTGCTTTGAAAGCAAAAGTTAGCTATGTTTGTTCCACATCCCTATGACATGCAGAGGTCAATTTAAATAAAAAGATAATGAAAAGATATTAATTTAAATTACTTTGTCAAAAATGATATCAAATAAAATACAAGATACGATTTATGATTCTTCTAACATCTGGCTCGGATGTCAAACTTAAAAAAAAGTTTCTTGCAAACTTAAAATATTACAGTATATTGCAGCGAAAACAGTGCTTATTCGCACAGACAATTACAATTATAAATTAATATGGATCTTTTAAAAGTATTGAAGGCAATAATCCGACTTGCATTGCCCTGTGTTTCAGTCAGTTAAAAAAGCTTAAAATACTTATTATTGTGCCGTAAAAGCATGTGCGTACATTGACTATATTGCTGTTGGTACCGCGGACTCTATTAAATGTAAATATTGTGGCTCATAAATATGCTCACAGCAGAGAAGAACAGAAACGATATTGAATTACCGGCAACTTTTCACATACCCTCATAACTCCTAGCGGGCGAGACATCCATATTTGGTTTAATTAATCAGTCAGAAGTTATAGAAAAGCTATTCAAGATGAACATGACATATCCGCAATCAAAAATGAAATAAAAAAGATGAAAGAACTAAATAAGTGCGGAAAGGTCGTCTTGGGACAACTATATGTATTTCTTGTTCTTTCTCTATGCAATCGCTTTTGCGTTTTTCGTATTTCGTTGTAAGTTATTTTAAGAAGAGAAAAAAAAAATCGAAAAAAATTATATAAAGAATGTGAGCATTTTAACAACCTTTTGTTTTTTATACGCTACACCACTTGTGATACAAGAGCATAATGTATGCGGATGTAAGCAACATCCAGAAGGACCTGAGATAGATCCACCTTTTATTATGTAAATCGATTCAAAATCACTTTCTCGATCGATCGAAACTTGTCTGTCCATCCTTTCTTCCTGTTGTCTGATGTTCAATCTATACATCTCAATTTTCCAGATATTTTAATAATATTCGAGACATCGACATTTTTTGCCGTAAGAATGAACGCTATGGAAAATGGTTCGTATCAATCAACGTCTTCGATCGATTCCCATATAATACCTTACTTCAAATAGTCGTTATATGACTAATTGCATTAAGCGAAGTGGTATAGTGTAGGGTTTGAAGGTGGACCGTGTCCCAGTATAGTGTTTTCGCTTGTTCATCTTAAGTTTTGCTTAAAAATTCTAATACAAAAAATTTTCTATTAATTGGGGTTTTTTTTTTTTTTTTTTTTTTTTTGTCTTAATTTAAGTAAGTATTAATCATTTATTTCACTTTTTATCGAATTTGTATATTTTTTGAAGTATAATTTCTTCTATTTTTTTTGCTTTGTTTTTTAAAAATTAATATGTTAATTTGTTTTCAATTACTTTTCTCGAGGTAGTTTTCTTTTGCTATTTCGATTTAACTAAGTTAGATTATTATTTTTTTTTTAATAAACCTGATTTAAATTGTCTCAGTACTCAGTAATAAATTTCATTCTCTACTTTAATGAAATATATAATTAATGTCAGAGATTATTTTTTTCATCTTTTTCTTTCCCTTTACCTCACATTTAACTTAGTAAAAATTTATAGAGGAATTAGGGCGAAAAAAAAGAATATTTATTGCACAATACTTTCTATTTTTTTTTTTTTTTTTGTTTTTTTCTTATCTTTTCTTTTTTTTTTTTTTTTTAATTTTAATTTTTGTATATCTAACACTCCATTTATTTTATTTCCTTTACTCGTTTAATTTCATATAAATAATGCAAAGCTTTCGCGCTTACTTCTTTTTCTTTTTTGTGTTTTGGTTTTTTTTGTTTTTTTATATTTCATTTTTGTTCGTGTTTTTCATTTGCTTGAGTTGAGTTTATTGCCTATCGACGTAAAAATGATATGCTTATGAGAATCTCATTGATATAAATATTAGTTTCGCTGTAATAATATGTAAATAAGAGTGTGTGCATGTGTGTGTGTGTGTGTATGTGTGTGTGTGTGTGTGTGTGTGTGCGTATGTGCTCTATGTGTGTTTTTAAAAGTAACAAGATTGTTTCCTTCTTTTTATTTTCTTCTTTTTTTCTAATTCTATTTCTCATATGAATGCTTAACAGACGAATGACCAATAGAATCAATAAAATTAATTGAAAAGGATTAAGTAGAAAAGTTACATTTCATATAAAAACATAGTACGTTAAGGTAAAGTGTGTATTAGAGGTTATTAGACACAATGCCGCTTAACTGTATTCGCAGCGATTTTTCACCAAGTTTTTCTTTTTTTTATATTAGCTATGTTTCCGCAATCGATACGAAACATTTGATAGGCAAACAAAAGGAAACGTATGGACGGACAATGCTTTACATATTGAGCACGTTAAACAATTTCAAATCTTCGGTTTTGCTAGATAAGAACCGGGACATTTAAGCAAACACAGGGTCATCGAATAGGAGCTTTTGTTTAAAACGTCATAGCTTCGATGTTTTCTACGGGATTCCCGTCAAAATTGACAGTTACATTCAGTATTGTCTAATAAAACACGACCAAAAAATACATAATTGCACAACGTGGAGAAATTGTGAAAATTTATTCAAAGAATAGTAAACGTATTCGATCTATGGCGGTATTTGTGATGTTAGCACTTCAGTCCGTCAAAAATTTAAGCTTACCGTGAATCAGAGAGCGAATAAGCCACTGCAGTGCAGCTATCGTGCAGAAATCTCCACAAATGACTTAATGAGCTGATCACCAGTGTGACGCGGTATAACACAACTGGTTTTTTTTTTTTTTTTTTTTGGAACTATATCAAGTCAGTGGTTTACCCCAATGATCCACAAACTCTCAATGACCTTAATTTCCAATTGGTAAAATAGTATTAGATTTATGGAAAAATACGCAGAGGCAATCATTCAGATAAAATCAATTGTAAATAAAAACGTTATCATAACATTTTAACCTTTACCGCTTTACTTTAATTTCAAATTGGAAAACAAAAATTGGCATTTGAACACTTTATACCTCTGATAAGTTCTGAATAAATTGAAAAATAATGATATTATCGTTTGTCATCTCATCGCATATCGCATGAGATAAAACGGCTTATTCACCTGCACCGATGATATGAGAGAAATGTTCTTCCAGGAAGTTGAAATGAAATTTGAAAATCAATACACAAATATATATATATATATATATATATATATATACATTATATCAAGCGCATATATATAGTGCGGTTAGCGATTTTTATAGCGATAGATGACGTCTTTTATTCGATAAAATAAATCCTATCAGTTAACTTATAATTTCATGGTTTTGAACACATAAGCCAGTGTTCTTACACCACAAGTGGTGTAGCGTATATTAAGTTAGTGCGGACGTATGTAAGATGCATTTTGTTATACCGATCGATTCAGAATTGTAATCAGAATTTATCTCTGCCCCTGTGCGTCCGTCTGTCCGTCTGATGGAAATTTTTATTTAAGCTACGGGTCGTAATTCTTGAGATATTTTGATGAAATTTTTTGCAATGATGTACTTGGGACCAAGAATGAACGCTGTTGAAAATGGTTTGGATTCGTACACTTTTTCGGGCACTCTCCATATAACGACATATTCGGAAAAGTCGCTATATGGAAAAAAATTACAATTTTCAAAATTTCTCTTTTAGACCGGTTGGCGAAATTTTCTACCCCGATTTTCCGCCTCTTATATAAGGAGAACTAAACTTTATACGACAAAAAAAGATATAATTTCCAATACACCATGGTGAACATTAATTACATCATAACAGTAACTGAACATAAAAAAATTAACTGTACGAAATTTGGAACATCTCGGCCTATCTTTTGGATTCTACCCTAACAAGAATTTTTACGTAAATTGATCTCTTTCAGAGTAGAAAAGTCTAATGTTTAATATGTGGTGATGAAAATTGACTAATAATAGTTAGTTTCACAGAAAAATGAACTCTACAAAATCTATATCATCTACGCGTATTTTTGGATCCTGCCCTATGTAAGGATTAAACTTGCTTGCGTGTTGCGCCCGCTTTCCCATAAATACGCACTTGAATAATATGCCTTTTTGTAGAAACAAGATATAATTATGTTAGACAATGTTGTGTAGGGTATTTAATGGTCGGCCTTCCCCGACTATAATTTTTTTTTTTTTTTTTTTTTTTTTTTTTTTTTTTTCGTTCATGCTGATTAAAGTAAAAAAGGACTGTGTAATAGGATGGTGTGACATGGTGAAACACTGAACTAGGACTAGATGAAAAGGGGAGTGAGATACAATCGTTTTCATATCATTTATTGAAAATGCGAAAAAAAAACCGGAACGTTACAATCGCAGGTATGGCATAATGTTTTTGAACATTTATGGAACATACTTTTGCTTTTCCTTTTGTGCGTATAAATAAATGTTTTATTGTTTGTTTTAATATAATTTACTTTCGGTTCTTTCATTGCCTTTTGTGTCACTTAAAAGCTTCCACATTTGATTTGATTACGATACGATCCGGCAATCTGCAAATATATATATATATATATAAAAAATATTAAGAAAGATATTATTAATTATTTGATTTGTATTTATTTTTATAATAATAATTTTTTTTTTTCTATTTTTGCATTTGTGTAGATATATAATTAACTTATAAACTTGATTGGCCGAGTATTTCGTACTATCGTTGCAAGAGTTTACGCAGTGCCGCCTATTACTTTCCACAAAATTAAGTGCTTGTAGTATCTTAATGCATTTTCGAGAGGACATATATTGCCTTAATTGTTCAAAGATGTGTTTAGAGAGAAAAAATAAAGGACATGTAATTGACAAGTTCGATTAAGGTCGAATTTATCCTATTTCTCTCTCGTTTAACAAAAGACAAACTTATAAAATATTTATACTCCGTATTATTATTGATTTTTAATAAGTTATTATTGTATCAAAAGGATTTGAATTTACCATAAAATTTTCATCAGAATGTTGTCATTTTTTTTTGGTTTTGTTTTTGTTTTTGTATGCTTAGCTCTGTGCTGACATCAAACATAAGATTTCCATCACATTAAATAAATGGTTTAGTATTCTTTCTTTACATAAAAAAGACGCGGACAGATTTTAATTACTTTATTTGGAAAGATTCAAACCAACCCCTCGTCAAGTTGAAACATTTTTGACATTGTTGTGAGCCAACAATTGACTTGATATTATCCTTAAAATAACATTTATCTCGCTGAGGTTATTGTATATTGAACGCAACACATACAGCACACAAGCACAAGTGTATATACACTTATCACTTAAGAATTAACAAATTCAAGATGAATTTTGTAATTCAAGTGAACCCATTTCTTGGTGATTTCAAGAACGTGTCCGACTAGTTATACTTAGAGCAGTACTTTAAGGTCTCACGGCAAATATCAAATCTTTGTTGTTTGTCGCAAATTAAAACGAAATAATCGGTCAAGATTGCTGTTACATACCCTGCAACATTTCGCTTAACAAAATTTTTCACTTATCGTCTTCATAAAATACCAAAAATGATATATTGTTGTCATATAAGGGCTTGATTTTTTTGTTAGCACCTTTACAGGGATAGGAGTTGCCAAACAGATTTGCGCAGATAATGCAAATTTAATAATATATATAAAGTCACCTTTTAAAGTCAAATTTTAATAATAATAAAAATTACGCTTTGTTGCTATAAAAAGGATTACCTTTTATAAGAGAGCTTATATAAGAAAGGGTTCAACTAAAAAAGGGCCCAGAACCAAACATTCATTTAATTAATAAAACGAAATGCAACTACTACAGCTTTTCCGTGCATTTTTGCCGACAAGTATTTAAGGACAAGTAAGAATGTGGCTTGAACACAAATTTACATGAACCGACATCAGACGGACAGTCGGACCAGACGGACACACAGTAGCAGAGATCAATTCGGATTATGATTCTGAATCGATCCGTATAATAAAAAGTGAATCTATCTTATCTCAAAATTTGCAACATGAGGATTAAACTCAAAAACATGCGGACAAGTGATTCGGACTCGTTTGCGTTGCAGTGGAACAGATTAATCTATCCATTTACCTCCTTTTGAGTGTTGCATATATCTTCGCAAGCACATTGTAACCGTACCAACGGTAGTGTAGGACATAGCTGCGTTCGTGTGATGATGAATACATACACATAGAGGATGTGAATTTGCGAAATATGAACTGTAAGCTAATTTTTGTTGTTGTACTTTCATTTATAATTCAGAATCATTTTCTCAATTGATCTACGCCTCGATGATGTCTGATGTCTATCCACGTAAGTTTGTGTTCACGCTACAAGTCGCCATGTTAAAGATATTATGATGAAATTTGATAGACTAGCGTACTTTGACCCAAGGACGAACGCTATTGAAAATGGTTTTGATCGATCCAATCTTTCGACCACGCCGCATATGACGTCCTATTCTAAAAAATCGTTATATGGGAAAAAATTGAAATTTTCAAAATTTCTCGACAAAAATGACCACATAAAATTTCAGCATTTCAGCATTTTGAATTGTTGTTGTTGTAACACCTTCGGACCTAGGCTAGGGGAATTTTTTTGAAAAAACGGAACTTCTATGTAGTAAAAAGATTCAATTTTCAATATCTCATTGTTCGTAATAGTAAATTGAGAAGGAAATCAACTTTACAAAATTTGGACCATGTGAGTCTATAATTTGGATATCGCCGCATTGAAGGATTCTCAGCGAATGTAAACGGCTTATATACCATAAAGACTACTTGTTAGTGTTTTGTGATGAATATTTAATCATGACATCAATTTGAAATAAAAATTAAGTGAATCAAATTTGCACCACATTGGTCCATTTTCTTTTGAATCTCACTACATATAAAATTACTCATAATTAGAAAAAGATTTCATTTTTTAATATATTATGATGAAAATTTCTCCACACGAACAAATTAACCAACAAAATTAACAGTAGGGAATGTGGGCTACATGAATCTATTTTTTAGAACCTAACGTTCATAAGGATTATCATAGGAGGGAAAATATAATTTTTTATTTTCTATAGCGTAAACTGAAAGATAGCACAATTTTTGGTCAGAAAATCAAGTTCACTAAATTCGGATTATGTCATATGGTGCTTGGGCCATCTGGCAATATCTGGGGCATTCATCTAATATTTATTCCTTTACATGGAAATAATAAGTAATTTTTGATGCCTTATTACTGAACCTAACGAATAATTGTACTGGACGAATTAGTGCTGGGTATTTAATTGTCGGACTTGTTCGACTAAAATATTCTTACTTGCTTGAAACAGTAATACCGAGAAAAGCTTGATAGAGGAACCAGAGAACAGCATGATATTTGTTATTGAGCCGATGCTCGCATCATGGCATAGTGTACACTTAAGCAATTGTCGAATATCACTTTTTTGCAATGGAACGATTCGCACCGAACCCGCGAATGAGAGATGCAAAGGTATGTGTGTAAATAATGATAACGAGTGAGGTTCTTTTGCTCACTTAAACGAGAATAGCAAAAGCAGTTTAAGCAGTTAGACGCATTAGGATAATTAGACGCATTAGGAGAATGTGTGATGAGTGTACTGCATTTTTCTTTCTATTTTAAGCTGCAATTCTCTCCTATATATATATATATATATATATAAAACTCATAAACGTTTTAATATAAATTCGTTGATATATATCTTTTAATATCGCGCTTAAAACGTATATATATATATATTTATTTTATAGTTGTTGACTATGATTTATGGCATACGTTCTTTCTAATATCGAACGCTATTAATAATTAGCACTGTATGAAATCATGCTTACAAGAAAAAAAAAAAAAAAACAAAAAAAAAAAAAAGGAAAAAAAACTACTACACATTCATACATATAATATATATTTACGTATTTATCTACATGATATGATGTATTATGTGTGCCGGGTAAACACAATCCTCAATTCAAAACTTATTGAAAAAAAAAAAAAACCAAAAAAAATACATCAACAACAGCAACAACGAATTCAAGACACGTTTGTTCCAATTTCGTTTTCTAACAACAAACAAAGCAACAAACTCAAATTTACTCGCATACATCTGCATGTATATCTCTAAGTAAATCCGAAAATTATAGTTAATTTCATAGACCACAAGCATATAGAGTTAAATTTTTTTTTTTTTTGTTTTTTTTTCACTTTAGCTCCCTTTTTATTATTTTTGTTTATTTCACATGAAAATTGTTAAGATGTCGTAATAGTAAGAAGCAGCAGCAGCAGCAGCAGCAGCAGCAACAATAACAACAACAACAACCACGAAATAAGCTGTGCTTGATTTTAGACAAAAAAAAAAAGAAAAGAAAAACCAATTCAAAGAAGTTTCTTTCGTACGGAGGAGCCAACTATAAAGATTATTGGAGTGACATACATATAAATGTGTGCATAGAAGAGTTATCAAAAAAACACAAAAAAACATAAAACAAAAAAAAAGAATAAAAGATAAAAAAATAAAAAAACACAACACAACAACAAACAACAACAACGGACGACTCGGTTAAATAGTTTTAACTTGAAAATAAATCTTATAATCCAATTAAAACGGTTCATTTACAAGTAAAGACACAACCAAACGTACAGCCGAACTAGATTATCTCCACACTGTTTACGAATGCTTGCGCGGTATAAGGTAACTAACGGTCTTTTAATACCATTTAAATGAAATGTTTTTCATAATGATGTTATACGAAGCAATCGAATGATAACTCATTCCCCAAGGTTAGCATAACGAAAGCATATAAGAAAAATTGAAATCCATTCAAAAGGCATAAAAAGCCGTACTGCATTTTCACTATCGTAAGAATTAAGCATGAGTTTGATGATCAAATGCATTATTGCAATACGTTTATAGGTCAAATATGATCCAAATGGGGCATATGGGGGGGGTATGGACTTTGTCGCGCGAATATTTCAAAATCCAAGGCCGAATCTTATCTATCTAAAGGGTACATACACATACATTTTGTATGAAAAAATTTATTATTTCCTCGTACTTCGTCGTCGTGAAGAATGTCAATCATCATATCATCATTATCGACTTGCAATCGTCATACATTGCGATCGGATACATTACGCAGTCTTTTGACTTTTAGTCAGAATTTTTAAATCAATGCCAGTTTTTCTCAATCGATACATTGAATAATTAAATAATTCGTACAAGTCAACGTCAAGCTAACGGAGAGGACTACACTACAATACAAATCTTATGCTTTTGAAAAATGCATGCAAAGAAATTCACCCTACCCATGCCTTGAGTATACGAGGTATGCTGCAATATATTATATATTTAACATTCAATGAGATGGAAATGGAGATGGAGATGGAGATGGAGATAAAGATATCAAGTAAAACTCATTTATTTCCATTCAGTCCATTTTTAGATATATTATGCATCATAGTGGGGCGAAAAGCAATCTCTTAACCATAGCCAATGATATTTGCTTGATAGGTTTCA